TATTAACGAAGTTTTTTAAACTAGTTAGCCTGAGATGATAATTAGAGTGAGATGTATATGAGACGATAAAGAAGTATAAGTTATGTTTACGTTTTTTTTAAAGTTGTTGAAAGACTGGTAGTTGAATTTTCCCACAATGATATCAGTGCATTTCACATAACCCTGCTTTCCCATCTATAATTCACAGCTACTCGCGACAATGTGGTGTAGGGGTTGACGTGTCGAGATTACATGCTGCACTGTCACCTTGAAGAGGTCACAATTACGCTCTACTCTGGATGAGAAAGTCTATGTGAAATTCAATGAAAACGTCGGTCATACTGAAATTCATATTTGTCTTGTCTCCACGGCTAATGAATGTATCCCTTAATGCGCTCGCCAATGGTTCCAATCCCGCATAGACTGATGATACGAACATGCGATAAGGTTGAAATTGAAATCCGCCCTGAGTGAAAATGGCGAGGCGAAATAAAATGCATTATCCTAATCCATCCGTCAAGTCTAAGGAACATTCGAGGTCTACAGTATGAGGTCCTCGGGAAAATCTTAACTTCTACTGAAAACATGTTGGGATTTCGTCTGTAATGCCAATTGACAGGAAGCAGCTGAGCTGGGGTCTATTATTAAAAGCTTTTTTCCCTTATAAACAGGTTTTCGTTACAACCAGTTGACCATATATATATATATGTATATATGATGTATTCACCACATTTCGTGTAAGGTGATATAAGGACTAGTAGTTGAATTGTCTCTAAATGATATGAGTGTGACTTAAGTTTCTGTTAGCTTTCAGATAGATTTGCCTTCCAAAAGTTATTCTCACTCAAGGCGGACCGCAGTTGATATCTCGACTAGGCCTCATCAGTATCGTCAGAGGGACTCGAACCATGATAGGGCAGTGAATAATCTCAACGGGTTAATCATTAGATCGCAGTATCAGGAGTGCTCTTTGGTCACAGGGCACATGTGAATTACAAGGAAAGCCAATCAATTTCTTATATATCATTCTGTGCTGTGATCTTCGATGAAACAAAGCCTGAGAAATCGACTAAATTACTTATTTTTCGTTTTGAGTAGGTTTTCGAGACTACTAGTAAATCAGATATAAAACTGATGTTTATCTGGTAGTTGAATTTTCCTCCAATGAACCGACCGCGACAACCAGAACGCTCAAGTCTGGCCAACTTACAGCTGGTTAAGAGGAATCCACCGTTGTCCTTTGATGAGATAGACCAATTAGTTTATTATTTTCTCACTATCATTCAAAGTGTATGTGCCCTCATACTTTGGACCAAAGCTCGAGCCATTAAATGCAAAAGATATTAAATATATGGCTTGCATAATTTTTGTTGGTACAACTTTTATTTTGTTGAAGGTACCTCATGAGTAGATTAGTAAATTGATCCCATTAGAAGATGATGTCTGATTTATTTTGTTGTCCATTCTACTGACTTTACTACCACGTTTATATTGGTTTAGTACAAGATATCACCTGCTTAGGTTCCAGGGGAAATAAACTGTCATGCTAGAGCTAATCTCAATCTTACAAGAACTTCAAAATAAGAATAAATCATGAGAAATGTTTGCTTCTAACAAACAGGCTAGCTATGCTTCAAAAAAATTAAAAAAATCTAAATATATAAATTTTGTCATTTCCTGTTCCTGCACCTGATTAAGTGTTAGTGTAAGTGAATGTACGTGTGTGCTTCAAGTTACGAGATAGTCACTGCAAAAGTAAACATGAGATCAAATACTCAAAAGAAACGCACTTACTTTGAATCGACATAGTAACAATAACTGAGGGCAAAACAATCACAATCCACTGTCCTCTGCTGGAGATATCTACCCCCAAATCTCGTTATTAGGCCATTTCACACGAAATGGAAATCACAAATAAGAGGAGGTATGGCATGCATCCGTTTTTTTATTTCTTATATGCCTAAGTGTGTGCGTGTGTATTCGTTCATTTGTGGAGTGATTTCTTATTTGTGTGAAGATGCGTGATCAAGATATTCGTAGGCTGACGTCACCAGAAGACGCTTTGTTCATAGTCCTCAGAATCTTGACAGGAGATTTCGCACAAAAGCATCCACACATTCAGAGATACAATTATTTGGATTTAGAGGGAAAGGAAGCAACTAAATAAATATCTATATCCTTTTATATATTTATTTTTATTATTGTCATTATTATATTTAGCACTTAATTTAGAGCCAGTTGGTATTCACGATTTGTAGTCAACTTGACGTCGTGTAAGTGTAGGATACAGTTCAGACGATGTCTATAATGCAACATGACACAAAATAGCTCACCTCTTTTTCTCCGTAGCCGAAGACTGGTTACTTGTGGACGGCGTTAACCTGAAGAAGATATTGAATTCAGGATTGAAGAACAACCAGACTAGAACACGATAGTATTTCAGTTGGATTTACTTGCACACCCCTCTTATCAGGCAACCACAAATGTATCATCATAGACAAAGTTTTGAGACCCAGTTACTTTCCATATTTGCCTTAAGTTTCTCACATTTATCTTTAGATGGTGCTTGGATGTACCGGAAGCAACTGATCAAGCATCAATGCATTACAAAGTATATTTCTTTAAATGTACGAAGACGTGAATATTTTAGAAAACAATTCCTTTTAATCATAAAGTAAGAGCTTCATCGAAGCCCAGTTACTCTTCGCATCTATAAAGTAGGAGTTGGGCAAAAAGTAATCGCAAATCATCTTCACAATTTCAACCACGGCTGCAGCCAATGTTCTCTGTTTGTGCATTTGGTCGGCGGAATTAAGGCTAATCTTCGGCCCAGGACAAAAGAAGGCATACAAATGAGTGAAGGTGATGATAATTTGCCTCCCATCGCCTAGACGGAATCTGATTTCCAAAAAATGGAATCAAGCCTGAATATGCGCGATTAAGATCGGTTTTGTTGTTTAAAACAAAGCCCTCCTCCAAGCATAAACTGGCCAGAAAGGTTCACAAGTTTTCAGTTCTCAGCCTTGGGGCAGAATTTGGCAATTCTAGAATAGGAGAGTCTAAAATTAGCGCCTTTCCTCCCAACCTAAAAGGCAGCTGTACCCCTGCAGATATGCCGGCAGCCGCAACCACAAACACTGTCGCCTAGGCCAGACTTGTTCATAAGGCAAGAGGAATGGCGCTAAGTGTTAGTGCGAAGTTGTGGCTTGTACTGCCATCGGAGCAGCCTCAATATCTATCACTTGAACTAAAATAAAGAATGCTTGTTTACGATTTTATTGCCATGCAGATACGAAGAGAAACTTGGTTTCGATGAATCTCCTGAGATAACATTGTTAGGGGGACCTTCATTTC